AGCCACCCAGCCACCCAGGTTGCTCTCAGCTTCAGGGTCCACGGCCCTCCGACTGACTAGTCCTGGGCCACAAAAGTGAGTCGCACTCGCCCACTTTCGGAAGTAGAGGTTAGGTGAGATAGGGAAGCTAGAACATTCCTCTGCTTCTCTCCATTGCTTGGGATCCTGGCAATGAGATGGGGTGCAGCGCTCTGGGGCAGTCTGTATAGGGCCACCCCACAAACCGTTGCTTCTCCAGAGGCCAAAGCTTGGTCTCCGGAGCCACATGCCGCCCAGGGAAAAGAGGCCTCAACTTCCAGGTGCTAGGCAGCAAAAGCCAGGCAACTAGATCCAAGAGCCCGGCTGGGACTTGGAGGCCGGGCTGGGCACTGCGCCAGAGGAACCTCGGCCCCAGCCACGGGCTGCGCCCACATTCCTCCCTCCACCACTGCCATGGCCCTGCAACCGCAGTCGAGCCCAGCCCAGTCCTGTACTTCCACCCCCACCCTTATGCCCACCTCCGAAGAAACCATATTCCAGGCAGGCAGTTGCTATTTTTTATTAGCGCTACTTTCAGTCCTCTCAGAAACTGGTCTGGTCTTGCTAGCTACCTTCACCCCAAACCTGGACAAACACGGGATGATGGGCAACCTAGAAAAGGATCCTCTCAGCAGCCATTTCCAGACTCTAGCACACTGGCGGAGGAAGGAATGTTCTCAGAGGTTGTGAAAATCCTGCCTCAGGGTAAAAGGGGTGATGGGATCCCTTGGACCTCCCTGCCCCAGGCCATACAAAGGCTAGGCAGGACTAATGGCCTGTCCTGTCCAGGCACACCTCGACTTACTCTGCTCTGAAGCATAGAGCAGATCTCCCCCTGGGGGCAAAAAATATTTTGAGACAAGGTCTCACTAAACTGCCCAGCTTTACTTGTGATCTTCCTGTCTCAGAAACAGAGAATACAGTAATAGCTGAGATCACAGGCCATCAATCCCTTTTAGGGGACATATTTTCTAACTGGCCAGGGCCAGGATAGGAACTGGGTGAAGCCACAGATGCCTCTTTTTAGCAAGGGTCTAGAGACGACCTGCCAAAGGTGGTCTTAGTCTGAAACGCCAACTCCAGCCAGGCTGGACTTGGGGACACTGCATAAGGGAAGAATGACTAGGGAGGGTAAAGCGGGGCAGGGAGACCAGAGTGGTTGAGATTTCCCTGGTGAGGGCTAAAAGCAGAGTAAAGAGTCACCAGCCCTTCCCCACCATTCCAGTGTGCTGATGCACTTCTTCAGAACACTTAGGAAGAGAAGAATTATTGTATCAGGGTAGTTCAAAGGTGCATCCTGGTGCCTCAGGGGGGAACTGGCTCATCTGTGATGGCTGGAAAAGCATCAAAGAGAACCACTGCAGCCTTCCAGAGGGAAGGATCTCCAGCAAGAATCACCCATTCCGCTCCCACTGGGCCCTGATGTCTGGACCCTATCAAGCCAGCAGTGGACCCAGATAGTAAGAAAAGAATGCATGGGAGCCCTGGGGAGCAGTGAGGCAGCCCTTAAACATGGCCTAAGAAACCTGCCCCTGCCCACCCAAGCAGGAAGCTTTTATCCTGCAGCATCTGCTTTCATTCATGAGGGCTCAAGATGCTTTTGGTGATTTGAACTATCACTGCTAGGGATGGGGTGGACAAGGCAACTGGATGAACCTTTGTGTGGGTAAGGTGGGAAAAGGGAACTCACGGCGCACAGCCAGAAGAGTGTTTCCATGGCAACAAGACACAGAAGTCACTGTGTAAGGGTGGATCTCATCCAGCTGCACGGCCCGAGGGAGTCCGGCATCCTCATCCCTCCTTCCCAGTCGACCTCGGGCCCCTTTGCCCCAAGAGTACACTTCACCCTCTGCCAGAAAGAATCCCAAGGAGGGAAGTGGAGGGGAGGCACAGCTAAGAAGCAGCTGTACAATCAGACCCATACTGGCTCCAACAGAAGAGTGCTAAGTCCAGTGGCCCCAGCATAAATTCCTCACCTCCCATGCCTCAGCCTGTGAACATCATACCCACCCTCACCTGCCCCAATGGCTACAGTGAAGGCATCTCCACAGGCCACCATTGCCATCTTGATCCCCTCAAGGCCTTGGACCTGACAGGGTGCCCGGCTGCCCCGGCGGGCATTGGTACCCAACTGTCCATGTTGATTGCTGCCAAAAGTGTAGCAGTCACCTGAGGCTGTGGAGACAGAAAAAGAAGGAAAGACGTTACCTCAACAGAGGTCTCAGAAAGGCCAGGTGAGTTCCCCTTGGGCCTCTGTGCCAAGGTCCTACTCACCAGTCACAGCAGCTGAATGAGCAGTGCCGAGGTCCACACTCAGCAAACGCTCCTGGTCCAGGGGTGCAGAGCGTAATGGTGTGAAGCTCAGGGCCTCCTCTACTTGCTGCTGGGGGGCAGGCTCCTCCCCCAGGGAGAGGTGGTCCAGGCCCAGCTTGTTGAACCTCAGGGCAGAGCCAGAAGCCAAATCCAAATTACAGTGTGTCTAGACTGTCCTGCCTCCACCTATCTGGGCAGGGGCCAGTATGATCTGTCCCACCTGACGTCGACCCCACCTTTAACTGAACCAAGCAGCACCCTCAGCACCCTTAGGTTCTGGTCCTTGATGGAAGGGAGGCAATGAGGAATGGAATACCTGAAGCCAAGGAAGGTGAGGGACAGACTAATCACCCCAGTGCACCTATTCACCTGTTGCTCCCACAGGCCAGGGCTCGGCCAGGCACAGTGAGGATCATGGAAGAGTCGATGCCACATACGGCCCGCTGGGCTTCCTGTCCCGGAGGCATGGGCACCTGTTGGGGGCAGCTATGAGACTCTCTGGTGCCTAGTCCCAGCCTACCTGTAAGAAGAAACCGGGATAAGATTAGTCTGAGCATTAGGATTGTTGATTCTAGAATGAGAAGAGCTGTTGAGGATTGAACAGGCACGAGCAAAGGCTATCCTCAGCCTCAAATGCCTTTCCTAGTTCTCTCTGCTGGTAACAATTCTACTTTAAATTCCTGTTCAGCTAAGTGTGGTGCTTAGCACCTGTAATCGCAGCACTCGGGAGGCTGAGATAGGAGGGTTATTTGAGTTTGAGGCCAGCCTGGGCTACATAGTGAGTTCAAGGCCAGCCTGGACTTCAAAGTGAGACTCTTATCTCAACAACAACAAAAGTAGATTTAAGATAAATAAATAAAAATGAAGCCCTGTTCAGATGCCACTGCTCCTTCAGATGACACTGCTATTCCTTGAGTTCCCACACCTTGGAACCTTGGGTGTGGCTGGCTCACATGCTGGACATGAATCATCTGTCCCTGCTCTAAACTGAGAGGACAGGAACGCATCCTTGTCATCTCTAATTTCAGTGTCCAGCCGGGCGTGGTGGTGCACATGCCTATAATCCCAGCACTGGGGCGGTGAGGCAGGAGGATCGCTGTGAGTTTGAGACCAGCCTGGGCCACATAGTGAGTTCCAGGTCAACTACATAGTGAGACCCTGTCTCAAAAAACCAAAAAAAAAAAATTAATTTTAAATTCAGTGGAGAGAGAAGGGAAGAGGAGGGAAGGGAGAAGAGAGAGAT